TCAAATGGTGTTTTGGAAGTGATTCAGTGTTGTTTGGAAATGTCAAAGGTGTTTTTTTGAAGGTTTTCAATGATGTGCAAGAGTACTTATGAAGGTTTCTGGAGTATTCAGAGGTGATTTTGGGGGTGTCGAATGTGTTTTTGGGAGTATTTAAAGGCAATTGATGGTGTTTTTTGGTGATGTTCAAAGTAAAGTGTTTGAGTTGTTTTTGTGATAATGATGTGAGTTGGAGGACTGAGGGGGAGTTTTGGGGGGATGAGTTGTAATTTAATGAAATGTGTAAGTGCAGATAAATTAGAGCTGTCAAATCTTATTTGGGAGTATTCAAAATATTGTCTTGGAAGTGTTTCAGTGTTGTTTGGAAATGTTCAAAGGTATTTTTGTGAGTATTCAAATGATTTATGAGAGTGTTTTGAAGGTGTTCAAAGTAAAGTGTGTGTGCGTATTAACTTCGTAATATGTAAAATTGTGACTAGTGAATTTATCGAAAAGTGGTTATAAGTGTTGTGGTGACTTTCTGATGATGAAAAAATTGGGGTTAAGAGTGAAAATGTTTTCCCTATGATGTAGGTACTATGTCCTCTTATTAACTTTAATGAACTAAAAGGGTCGACAAGATTCAGCCTGTGTGTGTGTGGGGTCATCGCGTGACGTCACTGTCAGAAGGTAAGTGTCCCCTTATTAACTTTAATGAACTAAAAGGGTCGACAAGTTTCAGCTTGTGTGCGCGTGACGTCACTGACCGCCGAGTAAACACCCTTCTTAGGTAATTTGACTTGTTTAGACCTGTAGTAAGCATGCCCCCATAGGAGGAGTTCAATGCTTACCCCCAGAGGAGGGGGGGAATCCAAAAGCTTGATCCGAGGAGTTCATAAGAATTTTGAAACCCCCATAGGGGGGAATCCAAAACTTGTATTATCGAGAAATTTTTGGGGTTGGGGGGGTGAAAGTGGGAGGGGGAATTTCGAAAACCCCATAGGGGGGAATCCAAAACTTGCATTATCGAGAAATTTTTGGGGTTGGGGGGTGAAAGTGGGAGGGGGATCCAAGGAGATGGAGACTTTGATTTCGAGAAAAATTTGATCCGAGGAATTGGAGTCTTTGTATTATCGAGAAAACTTGATCCAAGGAGATGGAGACTTTGATTTCGAAACCCCCATAGGGGGGAATCCAAAACTTGTATTATCGAGAAAAAAAATTTGGGATGGGGGTGAAAGTGGGAGGGGTAATCCAAAAAATTTGATCCAAGGTGATGGAGACTTTGATTTCGAAAAAAATTGGGATGCAAGTGGGAGTCCATTTTGAATGTTTATACACAGAGGAGGGAATCCAAAAGCTTGATCTGAGGAGATCATAAGAATTTCGAAACCCCCATAGGGGGGAATCCAAAAACTTGTAATATCGAGAAAAATTTGAGGTGGGGGGTGGGTGAAAGTGGGAGGGGTAATCCAAAAAACTTGATTCGAGGAGATCATAAGAATTTCGAAAAACCCCCATAGGGGGAATCCAAAAACTTGATCCGAGGAGATGGAGAGGACAAGAAAATGAAATTCAAAAAAAAATCGAAAAAAATCGGAAAAAAATTCGAGGAGCGGGGGCGATCCGGACGACGCTGCAGAAGGCGCAGCAGAAGGCGCGGGCGGGGGTCGCGAAGGGCGCGGGCGGGCGCGCGGGCGGGCGCGCGGCGCGACGGGGGGGTCGCAAAGGGGGGTCGTGGGGTCATGGGCGGGGTCAAGGTCATTAGCACATAGGTGTGAAAAGGGGACACGTGTCCGGAAGGGTCATTATCATAGGGTCAAGGTCATTAGCACATAGGTGTGAGAAGGGGCTACGTGCCCGGAAGGGTCATTATCATAGGGTCAAGGTCATTAGCACATAAGTGTGAAAAGGCGGCATCCTTTGAAGGGGCCCCCAGCCGCATTTTTGACTACTTATATATATATATGGAAGAGGGTAAGGTACCTAGGGATTGGCAGAGAGCATGCATAGTTCCTTTGTATAAAAAGGGAAAGGGGATAAAAGAGAGTGCAAAAAATTTTTTAGGGGGATAAGTTTTTTTGAGTTACCTGGTAAAGTGTATGGTAGAGTTATTTTGAAAGAATTAAGAGTAAGATGGAGAATAGGATAGCAGAGAAACAAGGGAGGCTTTGGAAAGGTAGTGGGTGTGTGGACCAGGTGTTTACAGTGAAACATATAAGTCAACAGTACTTTAGATAAGGCTAAAGAGGCCTTTTTGGCATTTATGGATTTGGAAAGGCATATGACTGGGGGGATAGGGGGGCAATGTCGCAGATGTTGCAGGTGTATGGTTGTAGGAGGTAGGTTACTGAAGCATGAAGAGTTTTTTTACAGGTAGTGAGGCTCAAGTTAATTATGGGAGGAAAGAGGGAAATTTTTTTCCCAGTAAAAGTAGGCCTTTTGTCAAGGATGTGGATGTCACCGTAATTGGTTTAATATATTTATAAATGGGGTTGTAAGAGAAGTAAATCGAGGGTCTTGGCAAGAGGCGTGGAGTTAAAAGATAATCACACACAAAGTGAGAGTTGTCACAGTTTGCTCTTTGCTGATGACACTGTGCTCTTGGGAATTATGAAGAGAAGTTGCAGAGATTGGTGGATGAATTTGGTAGGGTGTGCAAAGAAAAAAATTGAAAGTGAATACAGGTAAGAGTAAGGTTATGAGGGGTAACAAAAAAATTAGGTGATGAAAGATTGGATATCAGATTGGAGGGAGAGAGTATGGAGGAGGTGAATGTATTCAGATATTTGGGAGTGACGTGTCAGCGGATGGGTCTTTGAAAGATGTTGTGAATCATAGAATTGATGAGGGGAAAAGGGGTGAGTGGTGCACTTAGGAGTCTGTGGAGACAAAGAACTTTGTCCTTGGAGGCAAAGAGGGGAATGAATGAGAGTATAGTTTTACCAACGCTCTTATATGGTGTGAAGCATGGGTGATGAATGTTGCAGCGAGGAGAAGGCTGGAGCAGTGGAGGTGTCATGTCTGAGGGCAATGTTGTGGTGTGAATATAATGCAGAGAATTCGTAGTTTGGAAGTTAGGAGGAGGTGCGGGATTAGCAAAACTGTTGTCCAGAGGGCTGAGGAAGGGTTGTTGAGGTGGTTCTGACATGTAGAGAGAATGGAGCGAAACAGAATGACTTCAAGAGTGTATCAGTCTGTAGTGGAAGGAAGGCGGGGTAGGGGTCGGCCTAGGAAAGGTTGGAGGGAGGGGTAAAGGAGGTTTTGTGTGCGAGGGGCTTGGACTTCCAGCAGGCATGCGTGAGCGTGTTTGATAGGAGTGAATGGAGACAAATGGTTTTTTAATAATTGACGTGCTGTTGGAGTGTGAGCAAAGTAACATTTATGAAGGGGTTCAGGGAAACCGGCAGGCCGGACTTGAGTCCTGGAGATGGGAAGTACAGTGCCTGCACTCTGAAGGAGGGGTGTTAATGTTGCAGTTTAAAAACTGTAGTGTAAAGCACCCTTCTGGCAACACAGTGATGGAGTGAATGATGGTGAAAGTTTTTCTTTTTCGGGCCACCCTGCCTTGGTGGGAATATCGGCCAGTGTGATAGTAAAAAAAAATCTTGCTGATCTTGTACTCCTATATTATATATATATATTATATATATATAATATATATATATATATATATATATATATATATAATATATATATATATATATATATATATAATATATAATATATATGTATGTATATATATATATATATATATATATATATATAATATATATATATATATATATATATATATATATATATATATATATATATATATGTATGTATATATATATATATATATATATATATATATATATAATATATATAATTATATATATATATATATATATATATAATATATATATATATATATATATAGACAACATAAGATATAACATGTATGCCCAGCTGGGTTTATATTTTGGGGCACTATGGAGCTGACACCTAGTTGCATAGGCCTGCCTGTCTCAGCCCTCACCACACTACCTCACCCTTTTCCAGGCAGCCGAGCTCACTCCGTCAACAAGGTATACTCCTGACTCTCTCCTGGGCATGGCCCTCCTGAGTCGGGGCACTTATAAACACTGTCTGTGTACCAAGAACCCAAATAAAGTAAGGTAGCCCTCCAAAGCCTTATCATTGACCCTACTTGGACAAAGCACCCAAATCAATCGACGATATATGGTGGCTTAGCCGTGGTCCCAGCAGTTGTGTTGTCCAGAGAGAGGAAGGAAGGATGAAGATGGTGACTAATTCATCGTCTCGTACAAGAAGCATCCGTGTCTCTACGAGCTGTCCTGAAGCCGTGTGTGCAAGATTCATCATTCAGACTCAGGATCAGCAGGGTCCAGGCTGAAATTTGCTGAATTTTTCTCGAGAAATCTTTGTGGCGTTCCCTGCCACTCCACAGCATCCTACGCTGTTTTCAAGTCACGTTTCAGCATTACCTGTGTGTTTCTACGGTTGTTTTCAGCTCAGCACGCCTATTTCAGCAAGTGAGAGTTGAGTCTATGATGTATTCTGCGTCCAGTTGGTAGAATCTGCACTGCCTTCCACGTGTGTGTGAGAAGGGTAGGTGCATGGTCGTGGCTCCACCACATGCATCTTCCCTCACACCACTCATATGCTACCACCATAAATCACTACGCTACTCACTCTCCCTCTGCTGTTTTTATGTGAATTCAGTGTGAATTCTCGCCAGAGCTGTGTATCTGAGTGCCCGAAGTCACTCGAAGTCACGTGGATCACGAAGCCATGTGTGGATAAGGCCACGTGGATCTACAAGCCACGTGAGTTACCAAAGACACATGCTGTTGTCTGTTGCCTTCCATCATCCATGACGTCACCATGCTGCCCACATCACTCCCGTGACGTCACAATTCTACCCGACGTCACTTCGCAGTGTCACCCGTCATCACTCAAGACGTCTGCCTGACGTCACCTTGGACGTGTGCCCGACGTCACCTCGTGACGGCTGTCCGATGTCACGCCAGGACATCTCAGGACGTCTTCTCTACGTCACCCGACGTCATTCACGACATCTTCTCGATGCCACTCCAGGACATCACGCAGGATCTCTGCCTGACATCACCCTGGACGTTATCTTACGTCATATCGCGACGTCACCAACAACGTCTGCCCGACGTCACCTTGTAAGATACGTCATAATAACCTTTGGCTATATTACCTGATTGTTCCTGCTCCAGATTCTCCCACACGGCACAGTGAGTAGGATCATAGCCTACTGAAAATGGCTTAGTCAGGATGAGGCCATGGATCAAAATTGGAAGGGGAATCATAAGAACATAAGAACATAAGAAAGGAGGAACACTGCAGGAGGCCTGCTGGCCCATACTAGGCAGGTCCTTTACAATTCATCCCACTAACAAAACATTTACCCAACCCAATTTTCAATGCTACCCAAGAAATAAGCTCTGATGTGAAAGTCCCACTCAAATCCAACCCTTCCCACTCATGTACTTATCCAACCTAGATTTGAAACTACCCAAAGTCCTAGCCTCAATAACCCAATTTAGGAGACTGTTCCACTCATCAACTACCCTATTTCCAAACCAATACTTTCCTATGTCCTTTCTAAATCTAAACTTATCTAATTTAAATCCATTACTGCGGGTTCTCTCTTGGAGAGACATCCTCAAGACCTTATTAATATCCCCTTTATTAATACCTATCTTCCACTTATACACTTCGATCAGGTCTCCCCTCATTCTTCGTCTAACAAGTGAATGTAACTTAAGAGTCTTCAATCTTTCTTCATAAGGAAGATTTCTGATGCTATGTATTACGAGATGCTTTCCGGCTCGGCAAATGTCGTAGGGTATATAGCCAAAAACTGACTTACAGCTTCAACAAGGCATGTTCCAGCAGCAACAACAAGGCATCTTCGGAAATGTAAACACAAATGCAGTATAATGTGATCCTTTATTGACAACGTTTCACCCACACAGTGGGCTTTTTCAAGTCACACACGGATCTACCTGGGGTTGGAAGGTACGGGAGTATTTATAGTCATGTTCAGAATGTTGAGGTCAGGTGGAGAATGCTGCATCTGATGATCTACCGGGTGGGGTTATAGAGTCTTGGGTAGCTAGGCAGGGGTATTGGACAAGTTGTGATAGACCTTCTGCAGTGTTCTATGTTCTTATGTGGGATAGCGATGAAGAAGTTTCTTGGCGAGTGGTTCAGCTATGTTATAGAAGCCATTGTTCTGGTTGAAATTGTTGGTTATAGAGATAAGCGATGATTCCAAAATTTCCCTTCTGTATTGAGTGTTGTCTTCTGTGGCTATAAGTCTTGAGTTTCTGTAGTTAATTAAATGGTTGTGTAAAATTGCGTGTTGTACACAGGCATTCCTTGTATCGTCAGTCCTGCTTGCATATTGGTGTTCTGAAATACGTTTTTTGGAGGTCTCTTGATTTTTTCGCCCACATATAATTTGTTGCAGTCATTACAAGGGATTATGTATACCCCTGCAGAGGATGGAGGCTTGTCCTGTCTACACTGGTGATGTCCTTGATGGTCGTGGTTGGGGAGGTAGATACTTGGAATGATTTTTTTGGCAAAGATGTTGGAAACATGTTTGGCAATGGAGTTGGTGGGAAGGACTATGTATCTCTTCTCGGCAGTGTCTTCTCTGGGTGTGTTGAAGATGTTTTGCCCACCGTCTGCAGTCTCTGATGAAGTGACGAGGATAGTGGAGTTTAGAAAATACTTGTTCAATTATAGTGCATTCTTCCTCAAGGAATCGTTGCTGCAGATTCTGAGTGCACGCAGGAAGAAGCCTATAATTACACCACGTTTGGTTTTGGTGTTTTTGGTGAGAGTAGAAGTGGAGAAGATCGTTTTGGTTGGTGGTTTCGATAGACTTAAAACGAAGTTCGTGGTCAGTTTTGCAGAGCAGAACCAGGAAAGAAGGTGTTGTCGATCTTCTTCAAGGTGAATGGATTGAAGGCTGACTGGTTGAGCTGTCTTGGAGAGCTTGAACGTAAAAGCGTTTAGGATTATGAGGAGAATGTCGTCAAATAACGGAGCCAGGCGACAGGACGAAAGAAAATGGTGGAATACGTTCGGCTTCTAGATGTTCCATGTATAGGTTCGCGGGACTGCATGAGGGGCGAACCATGGGTAGTCCAAAAGTTCTGCTGAAAGAGGTTGATTTTCGAAAGAGAAACACGTAAAGCACCTAGGTTCAAAAAGGGTCGAGAAATCGCGGGTGGAAGGGGAAAAGATCAGTGAATCTTTCAATTTTCCTTTGCGCAAGAGATGATGGCTTGTGTAGTAGGTACTTTGGTGAATAGGAAGTCACGTCAAGGCTGGAAAGTTTCTTGTTCCTGATGTTGATGTTGCGAATGCGATTGAGATCACCTGAGTGTTTGAGATGTGCTGGACTGATAGTGCCCAAGAGTTTAGAGAGGTGTTTGGCGAGAATTCCTGAGAGCTGGTGGAACGGCGGGCATTAAACATCTTCAACACACCCAGAGAAGACACTGCCGAGAAGAGATACATAGTCCTTCCCTCCAACTCCATTGCCAAACATGTTTCCAACATCTTTGCCAAAACATCATTCCAAGTATCTACCTCCACAACCACGACCATCAAGGACATCACCAGTAGTAGACAGGACAAGCCTCCATCCTCTGCAGGGGTATACATAATCCCTTGTAATGACTGCAACAAATTATATGTGGGCGAAACATCAAGAGACCTCCAAACACGTAATTCACACAACCATTTAATTAACTACAGAAACTCAAGACTTATAGCCACAGAAGACAACACTCAATACAGAAGAAATTCTGGAAAACATCGCTTATCTCTATAACCAACAATTTTCAAAAACCCGAACAATGGCTTCTATAACATAGCTGAACCACTCGCCAAGAAACTTCTTCATCGCTATCCCACATAAGAACATAGAACACTGCAGAAGGTCTACTCACAACTTGTCCAATACCCCTGCCTAGCTACCCAAGACTCTATAACCCCACCCGGTAGATCATCAGATGCAGCATTCTCCACCTGACCTCAACATTCTGAACATGACTATAAATACTCCCGTACCTTCCAACCCCAGGTAGATCCGTGTGTGACTTGAAAAAGCCCACTGTGTGGGTGAAACGTTGTCAATAAAGGATCACAGTATACTGCATTTGTGTTTATATTTCCATTGTGTCGGTATTTTATACCATTTATTTCCAAGGCATCTTCGAACAACAACGACAACTGCTAAACAGAATTTCTACCCTGCTAGCATTCACCAGAGTACAGCAGCGTCTCTCGGCCTCAGGGCACCCAGTCTCCTTCAATAAAAGAGGATGTTTCTAGATGACAAACCCTGATTATGGATCCTGGAAAAGCTTCATTTTGGACTGGGCGAAGCTAAACGAATCGTCGTTATTACAGCCGTAATGACTATCAGTCCCCAGTGTTCAGAGAGCTATCGATGAAAAAAATCCCAGAGGGCAAATAAAGAGCGTTACAGCCGGAAGAGGTAGTGGACACAATTTGAGTGTTTGTGACCAATTCCCCATAAAATGCTTTAAATTATTAATTTATGTGCCCTTCTGAGATGGGGTAAGGGGGAATTTCAGAGAAAGTCTTCAAAGACGAAGGCACCAACTTCAAAAGCGCTGAAATTCTAGTTTTTTAAGCAGTGGGGTATCAATGACAGGCTGTCACCTGCCCATTATCCCTGATCCACTGGGCAGACTGCTGCAGATCACGTGACCAAGAAGAAAATCTACAAAAATACTGTGAAATAGAAAATCACCAATGCAATTCGTTAGTGAAATACAGCTACGTGACTGTCTAATACCGTGTGATTCAGCACTGGGGAAAGCTGTGCCACAGAGAGGTGTGGATAACAGAGGTCGCGGAAGTCAAAGAGAAATATGATCAGGGTGTCCGGCATATGCATGTTCTCCATGTGGGGGACGAAGAGCACAAAACTCAACAACAAAGTTGTGGAACATGATAGGTGTGATTGTCGAGGCTGAGAAATTTTGGCAGTACACAGACTAGACGGAAGTGAAAGTCACATGAACAACAACTAAGCATCTTTACTGATGACTGAAACGTTTTTTCTATGCAGTAAGTTTCTTCAGTCAAATACTGATGAGACTAAATTGGAGGTATCATGCGTATTAACGAGGTAAAGATGATATAATGAGTCCATCAACCTTAGACAAGTAATTTTTTAAGGTGGCCAGTCCCACAATGGTATTTTGGTACAGAGTACGTGTTGCACACGTGCTTCGGTCTTCAACTTGTCGGTATTACATACCATTTTCGTTACAGACGGAAGTGACAGTCTGTCACTTAGGAATCGGCGATAACTTAGGCCCTCGCACTCTCCCAGGACCACTACTCCCATCTTGTGTCCCACAGAATGGTGACAGGTGTGGGTGATTCACATTAACTGTTGGATGACATCAGAGCAGTCCATCACTCTTGTAGGAAGACCTCCTTCAAGAGTGATGGGCTGATGAAGCCACTGTGTGGCGAATCGTTTCTTCAATTAAGATTCCCATATGTTGCATAAGTGTCTCAATTCTTCACATTAAATATTGTTTTCACATTAATCAGGAGTGCAGTTCGGGACAGTGGTGACTATGGCTGCCACCGGTTGGTTGTGTGACTCCGACTTCATGGGAGGATGGCCGTCTGTGTTCTACATTTTTGGCGTTCTGGGTGTTGTATGGAGCATCGCGTGGTTCCTGCTGGTGTTCAACCATCCACAACTTCATCCTAGAATATCTGAAGAGGAACGAGAATATATTTTACATTACTGCGGCAAGAAAAGGGAAAAGGTATAAGAAAGCAATTCGATATTTATTCTTACATATAAATATAGTTTTCTTTGATGTTCTCTAAAGATATGCAACTTAAGTAAACTGAAGTGTTGATAGAGACTACTCCATATCAAGTGAGTATATTCAGGTACAGGTACACATAAATACAATTATATAAATTATCATGCACAGCAGCATGTGTGTAGAATACCTAGGATAACCCCCAAAAATCGAAGTAACTTATTATTATTATTAAAGATTCGCCGGTATATCTCCCGGCCCGGGCCGTTTCCAAGTGTTGGCCCGGCCTTGGCTCCCTGTCTAGGGAGTGCCTGAGACCTAAGTCTCCCATGGGAGGAGGCACAAGTACCCCCTCATCTTTGGGACCAACTGTCCCCAGGCCTAGCCACATTCCCCGCCCTCACGGGGCTCATAGAGAGAAGCTAGGCCTCTCTGGTCGGCCATCCCCGCCCCAAGGGGGCTAATGGGAATGACAGTCATGTGAGTTGCAAGCTCGGGCTCAGGCACCTACCCTACCCTAGAAGGACTGGGCATGGTGTCGATCGAAGTAACTTATTTCATTGGAGATTGAGAAAATGAGATCTGACGTGAAATTTGAGATCCTACACTGTTTAATATAAACAGGTGACGTTAATAATAAGTTTAATAAAGAGCCACTAATCTTGCAGAACATTATTTAATATAGTAAATCTCCTTAATGGATAAAGTATAATAATAATAATTTTAAAAGAATACATTATGTGTGTTTGTGTTTAATATGGTATTTATTTCCGTAGTTTCAAAATAAAAGTAACTGGAAGGAAATATTTAAAACTAACGTTGTTACTGAACTCATATTTGAATAATAATAATAATTAACAATAATAATAATAATAATAATAATAATAATAATATCTTTATTTACAGCAAGTACATGTACATGGTATACAGACCTAACTGACATCAATGACATACTACTATATAGAAAGACGCTTGTTATGCAGAGCATTTCCCGCAAATTAGGTCAGTTTTGTTCCAGGATGCGACCCACACCAGTCGACTAACACCCAGGTACCCATTTTAAACTGATGGGTGAACAAGCACAGGGACAGCAGGTGTCTTGTGGAAAAACTTCCCTAATGTTTTCCAGCCGTACCGCAGCAGATTCGAACTCCGGACCTCAGCGTGTAAGCTGTGCGCGCTAGCGATCCAGCCGTGGGATACCTCATCAACACCCTCATGAGTCTTTAAGGGTTCCTGCGACTGCTGCATCAACTAATTTACAAATGAATTCACCGGTGGAATTTTTGGTCTCAATAAATTTCCACATCCTCGCATCAGCGAAGGTAGACACTAAGTCTAGATCGAGTTCACCTCCCACAAGCCCTCACACTGGGCCCTGGATCATTATAATTCTGGACCATTATAATTTTGCGACTGAGAGGAAAACAGGGTAGATAGAGATGATAGGATAGTTAGAGAAGAAGTGTAAAACAGACACACACACACACACACACACACACCACCACACACACACACAACACACACACAGAGAGAGAGAGAGAGAGAGAGAGAGAGAGAGAGAGAGAGAGAGAGAGAGAGAGAGAGAGAGAGAGAGAGAGAGAGAGAGAGAGAGAGAGAGAGAGAGAGAAAGAGAGAGAGAGAGAAAGAGAGAGATTGATTTTGGGAGACAGTGAGTGTTTAGGGAGTCTTGAACCAAATTAAAAGGTAATATTTGTGGGTTATCTAAATGTAAAGTATACTGCCTTCCCAGTTTAACTTCCGTCTGTCTGGTTTCAAGTGGCCGGGGGTATCGTGTGTGCAGAATACATAGATCTTGTGAGGACTATGTTTACATTTTCTATATGTATAATAAATAAATGCATACACAAATAACCCGCACATAGAAGAGAGGAGCTTACGACGACGTTTCGGTCCGACTTGGACCATTTACAAAGTCACACTAACCAGAATTGGAGCAGGACGGGTATATATAGGCAGGAAGAGGTAGTGGTGGTAGTAGTAGAAGCAGTAGTGGTAGTGGTAGTAGTATTAGTAGTAGTAGTAGTAGTAGTAATAGTAGTAGTAGTAGTAGTAGTAGAAGTAGTAGTAGTAGTGGTGGTAGTAGTGGGGAATTAAGGAGGAGGAGCCAGTCAAATACAAAGAAAGGGGTGCACTGCAAGGCAGCTAGGTGCCCACAGGAGGAGAGCAAGTGCACAGAGGTGGGGGGAAGGGGAAGTGATGAAATAAAAATTGAAGGAACAGAAACACGAGACAGAAGAAAGAAAGACAACCCAGAGGAGAAAAAAGAAGGAAAGAGGAAAGGGGAAGAGGGAGAAGAAGAAAAAAGAAAAAATTGAGGAATCAGGTTAAGTCACGGGTGTTCTGAAGTTTGGAGCATTTTACAATGTAGTGGGAGAGGAAGGCATCTACAGTCACGGTATTGTGCCTTTTTTGTTATAAATAAATGCATACTATATACTCAACAACACCAGCACGTAATGTGTTTCATGACTGCAATATATAAGATAAAGTGAGTGTATGTAAAACAGTAACAACGAGAACAACAAAACAACACACTAATAATAATAATAATAATAATAATAATAATATTAATAATAATAATAATAATAATAATAATATATAATAACAATAATAGTAATAATAGTAATAATAACAATAATAGTAATAACAATAATAGTAATAATAATAATAATAATAATAATAATAATAATAATAATAATAATAATAATAATAATAATAATAATAATACATAATTTACTTCGCTAAAACTGTGTGAAGACACGTGAAAGTTTCTTGCAGTTTATGAGAACTCTTAGCGACACAAGGCAGTAAAAGTGGTTTGGCTATTAAAAAACGTTTGCATATTTTAAACCAGAAAAACTTAACGGTTTTAACACCGTTATTTGTATTTTTTTTTATTCAGAAAGCATAAGAGATGTTTGTATTTAATACCTTGAACACTCACTCACCTGCACTTTTAAGAAGTACGCAATATCTTGTTGCAGGCGTTGCCGCTACCATGGAAGGCGGTGTTTACATCCCTGCCAGTATGGGCCATAATCGTGATCCACTTTGGTAACAACTGGGGCTTCTACACTCTTCTCACTGAGCTTCCTACCTACCTAGACAAAATCCAACACTTCGACTTGAAGAGCGTAAGTAGCTCATCTATGTCCAAATAACTAAATAATTATGTATGATTTTTTTATATAAACATTTAGGTACTTGTATTACGAAATTGATTTTCTCCTTAACTGACTTTCTTTCATAACTTTATTATCCGTATTTATTTTATACACATGCCCGGAGCAAATGCTTCAAACTGTCTTGCTGGCTTTTTGGGATTGCTCTACAACTTTCCGGGTAGCATAGAGTTAGTTGAGATATACGATTGTAGACTAGCTTCGACATTATTTGGAATAACAAGGTTCACAGCGGGCAGCGTGAGGGATGCTGAAACCAGTCCGAGGAGGAGCAGCTGTTAGTTGGTAGGTCGCTGGTCTAGGAGTGAGACTGGGGCAGTGTGGTTTTGCACTAAGCTATGTAGGCCTATAGATGACAGTACCAGCATGGCGCAAAATAAGAACTCAGCTGGGGACACGGTAGGTTTAATTTCTACATTTTGTTTGACTATGCACCTCGAGTCGTCTCAACACGACATTACAGGTGGGCAGAAGGGTAAAAACAAAAAAAAAAAAAAGGAAAACAGGAATTAATCCCTGCCAGACTGGCTTTGACTTATTCCAAGATTGACATAATTCTAGTAGGCCTAAAAACTATAACATATGTCAGGTGGAAGAGAAAATGGCTTGCTCACTCAGCATAGTGGAGGATGGAGCCAAGAGACGCCAGCACTGGAACTAAATCTTCTTATATACAGGTTGTTTACAGAGCTGTGGACATCAGGCTTGTCTGCACATCCAGGGACACTGTGCCATCCTCACATCTGTAAATAATGACTGACAGTAGCATTTCCTAGGGTGTAACATGCGAGAAGAAAGGGCGGCACTGCTCTGTCTTTAATATAACCTTAAAATACACGCTGCGTGCAACAAACTTGCAGTGATATTATCCACAAGGAAATTTATTATAACAACACAGATTACATATATACACGGTGTTGTCCAACCTGGCTCCGCTATATGGATTACCTATACAGTTTATGAGCACTGATGCCCATTTCAACTAGAAGACAGTTAGCATAGGAGTCGGACAAGTCAACAGGTACGCCAATGTCACAGAAATGTATTGCTGTCCTGGGTCTTAGACCATAAGTATGTAGCCGTACAGAACTGTCATTGGTCGTAGTAGTAGAGGGAAAGGAAGTAGACAGGTTGTCACTAGTATTAGCCTGGTTGTGGCTTTGCAATGCACGTTCCTCCTGCTCAGCCTCGGCTTGCACATTATCAATGTACTTCATGTGGTCACGGTGAGATTCCTTGGTCGTTCCTGCGGCAATCTCCCTCACTTCGAACTTGTTGCCATGGAGCTGTCTGAGAACACGGTAAGAACCAACGAATTTGGGAACCAGCTTATACATACCAGGGGTTTGCGTAGGATTTTGCAACATTACTTTGCAACCTGATTCAACCTTACTCTCCTTAGCAACAGTGTTACGATTAGATGTAAACTTCTCATACTCTCTGAAAGACACGCTGTAAAGCCTGCATCTTGCTGACACTGACATTGTCAGTGTTATATATAGGCTGAGGCGGAGCAAACAGAATTTCATATGGCAAACGCTTGTCATGGCCGTACAATGCAAAATGGGGTGTCTCACCAATTGACCTGTTGTGTGAAGAGTTTAGGGTACATTGCACATCTGATATGACCACATTCCATGTGGTGCAACTCGGATTGATAGTTACTCAGAGCACCTCTAGGACTTTGGGATTTGTACGTTTAGCAAGGCCGTTACTCGCAGGAAGGCGTGGAGCTACTGGCACTTGGTGAATATTAAATCTAGAGCAAAGGTCTTACATTGTGGTATTTATGAACTCCGACCCATTGTTTGACAGGACACTTGGGCACGTATGACGGAAAACATGTTCTCGGAAACCATTTGAAACAGTCTCACCGGTTTTATCAGGGATGGGTACTAGCTCACAGTACCGTGCCAAGTTATCCACCATTACAAACAAGTGTTTATTACCCCTCTCCGAGGTGGAGAAGTTCGTCAACAGGTCGACAGAAGTTCTCTCCCAGGGCCCATTTGTAATGTAATAATTGAGAATGGGATTAGGACCAGTGACGGTACCTTTGAGCTGGAGACAACACACTTGTGCACGTACTTAGCAATTTCCGCTGCCATCTTAGGCCAGAAGTATTTCATTCATGCCTGTCTGATGCTATGGTCTTTACCTGGGTGCACTGCTCCTGGGACGTTGTGAATTAACCTCAGAGATGCTGGTACCAGGGATTCTGGTATCACCAAGTGGTGTACAGTTTTGCCAGGATCTGCGAGCGTTGCCACATGGCAGAGCATTCCTTGGTTGTCACTAAGTTCTTCAGCAGTATAGGTGACTTGACCTGTAGGTTAGCAGCCTCCTTTGTCAGAAATCGAAGGACTGGTGACCATACAGGGTCCTGCCATTGGGCTCTCGTTAGATCCTCAACGGAGAAAGAGCTGTCTGCAACAACAAAAGATATGTCTCGACATCCCGTAATCCAAAAGGCATCCTTTTGAACTGATAGGAAGAGTAGGCATAGAGAATGTGGTCAATTCTTTGCTTTGGTCATCAAGAGGAATCTGCCAAAACCCTTGGAGTAGGTCAAGAGTTGAAAAAACTTGTTATCACCAATGTTCTGTAACTGGCAATGGAAAATGATCCAGAATCGTACATGCATTTAGTTTCCTGTAATCAATTACAGGATGCCAAGTTCCATCTTTCTTTGGGAGAAAGATGAGCGGAGCATTCCACAGAGAAGTGGACTCCTCAATAACTCCATCATGGAGCATCATAATAATGAGTTCTCCAGTGAAGATTCTTTGTGCATGAGGAAATCGGAAGGCAGGCATATAAATAGGTTTGGTGAAATTATCAAGAGGAATATAATGAGAAATAAGTGGGGTCAAACCCATGGTCTCACCGTCTAGTGCTCCTCCTTAGGTGTTCTTCCTCAGGGTGAAATTCTACTGTGAACATTAACAACAAGAACTTGCAGCCTCCCACGTCGTACAGTGTGCAAGGATGGCTCAAGAGAGAGACCCTTGACTCTGCATGTATCGCTGCCGACTAGCACATGGTCCACTTTGAAAGCTCTGTTCACATACACGGTAACTGGAGTGAGTGAGCTAGCTGACAAAGTGACGTTATACTTTATACAGGCTGTAACTTTGCTCACCGAAGCCATGACACGAGTCAGAAGTGTGGCTATATCCATTAATTTTAGTGACTGTGGAATCTCATCTATGTCTATGCTGCTTCTCCATAGCATATTTAGACCCTGTGAGAGGGGTTTCTTGTGGTTCTTAATGAACACAGAGTTCCACGGTTCTGGGATTCAGTGCATGGGCATACTGTTATTGGCTTTCTCATACTCTAATGGAATTAGGGTTATGTCAGAAATCTGGCATACACTGACAGGGTTCTGAGGCTCATTCATGAAAAAAAAAATTTTTGGATTGTCTATCTCTAGACTGATTTGGACTTATTTAGACCGAGTTTGGAACCCACACCTAGTCAAGCATGTCATGAAATTAGAGAAAGTGCAAAGGTTTGCAAAATGACTAGTCCAGGAGATAATGGCCATGTCCTACAAGGAGAGGTTATATTAAATCGACCTGACGACACTGGAGGACAGGAGGGATTGGGGGGACACGAAAGGATATATAAAATACTGAGAGAAATTGAAAAGGTGGAGAGGACAGGATGTTTCAGAGATAGGACACAGCAACAAGAGGTCACAACTGGAAGTGGAAAACTCAGCAAGGATGTCAGGAAGTATTTCTTCAGCCATAGAATTGTCAGGAAGTGTAATAGGTTAGAAAGTGGCGCAGTGGAGGCAGGATGCATACATAGCTTTAAGAAGAGGTATGATAAGGCTCATGGAGCAGGGAGAGTGTAGTGACATTGAAAGGTGGGGCTAGGAGATATGACTCAACCCCTGCAGCCACAATTACATGAGTACAATGTGGTGAGTGCACACATTCACATATATATATACACACAGTAGGAACACCGCACGCGCGAGTCACAGCTTTCGTGCTCCGCGAATATAAGCATTTTTGAGGGCTACCCAAGTGTACTGCAAGGGTCGTTAAGTGTGTCAGGATAGTGAACAATCCTTGAAGCGATTTACAATTTGTCATGAGCCACATAAGTGTGGGGAGAGCCACAATTTTATAAGTGATCTAGAAAGTGATACTTGGTGGGGCATTCAGAGTTGGCAGGTCTAGTGTGCTCCAGGTGACATTGCCACGTGTTACCCAAGAAAGATAATAAAATGAAACAAATGTGTGACCAGTGAAAGAAATACAATGAATAGGGTACATTATATATCGAGAAGAAATGGAGGTGGATCTATGCCAGGACATCATATCGAGCTGGACAATCTACAGGCTGAACATTAAAGTGGTATAAAATACCGACAGGGTTGTTAGTAAGCACATATGCACAGTTTGGTATCTAATTAATGAAACGTTGATCGCCTAACAGTAGGCTTCTTCATCTAGTACAGATAAAGTAAAAGCAGAAGATACTTGAAGACGATGAATCAGTCCATACCTTGAATTTTGAGAGTGGTCAGTCTCAGTCTGGAGAAGAATGTACCATAGTATGAAACAATATGTTTCATACTATGGAACATGCCTCTCCAGGACTGAGGACGACACCTCAAACTTAAGGGTGATGGACTGATACATCGTCTTCATACTCTGCTTCTACAACTTTTCTGTACTTACTGAAATCGACCTACTGTTAGCAGAACACGTTTATAATAAGATCCTAACTTGCATATTGCTTCTAACAATTACAGCATGCACAGCTGCATTGCAAGTATTCACCATGCGGGTTGTTGATCAGTTGGTTTCATTAACTGCCAAGTTCGTCGTGAGAGGCCAATCGTCTCCTAGTACACTGAATAACATCAAGTACTCAAAATGATAGGCCCATATGGTATTTATAGAACAAGAAGAGACAGAGTCTAGTAGACT